TTTTTTTTGAAACGAAAATTAATTGTATTTACATTAATTCTTATGGGAAATATTATTTCGGTTTTCAGCCATTTCGGTTTTCGGCCAACCTTCTGGAACGGATTACGGCCAATAACCGAGGGTCCACTGTACTGTGGATTAGTCATTCTGGCATTATTTTATTAGGATGTCAGGATTTGTGAAGAAAAGAATAAATACATCTTTGCTGCAGATTTTTAAGACTAAACATTAAAATACTGTATCTCGAATAATTCACAACTGACCTGAAATCTGGGGAGGAAACTTTAGAAGACCTTTTCTACCTTTTGATGATTATCAGTTAGCAACAGTTGTGACTAAATAATGGTACAGGAAAGACTGAAATGTTTTCTGAGGTTTCCTCCAATTGGCAAGTTAGTTGTGAATTGCTAGAACTACCTATTTTTTTAACTAAAAATTTTTGCTTTATCTTTGTCAAATGTATATTCAAGAGTTTTGAGTCTTAAAATAGCTTTTGCTTTTTAGTCTTGGCATATATTTCATGGCTTGAATTTTTAGTTTTTACAATTTCTTAAGTTTGTTTATATATTAGTTTTGGTGTACTGTGGCATACTTCAGCTCTGACATATATTTGACAATTTATAAGATTAAGTGCCAGTCCTTAATTAGGCCATAAAAACATATGTACACTAAATGATTTTCTTTTTGTTTAATTTTGTGATATGTAGATTATTACATTAGCTAGCAAGTCATTTATATATATATATATATATATATATAATATATATATATATATATATATATATATATATATATATAATATATATATATGTTTTTTTTTTTTTCCAACAAGTCGGCCGTCTCCCACCGAGGCAGGGTGACCCAAAAAAGAAAGAAAATCCCCAAAAAGAAAATACTTTCATCATCATTCAACACTTTCACTACACTCACACATTATCACTGCTTTTGCAGAGGTGCTCAGAATACAACAGCTTAGAAGCATTTACGTATAAAGATACACAACATATCCCTCCAAACTGCCAATATCCCAAACATAACCGGTTTGAACATAAACCGTGAACATAACCAGTTTCCCTGAATCCGTTCACTAAATATTACCCTGCTCACACTCCAACAGATCGTCAGGTCCCAAGTATCATTCGCCTCCATTCACTCCTATCTAACACGCTCATGCACGCTTGCTGGAAATCCAAGCCCCTAGCCCACAAAACCTCCTTTACCCCCTCTTTCCAACCCTTTCGAGGACGACCCCTACCCTTCCTTCCTTCCCCTATAGATTTATATGCTTTCCATGTCATTCTACTTTGATCCATTCTCTCTAAATGACCAAACCACCTCAACAACCCCTCTTCTGCCCTCTGACTAATGCTTTTATTAACTCCACACCTTCTCCTAATTTCCACACTCCGAATTTTCTGCATAATATTTACACCACACATTGCCCTTAGATAGGACATCTCCACTGCCTCCAACTGTCTCCTCGCTGCTGCATTTACCACCCAAGCTTCACATCCATATAAGAGTGTTGGTACTACTGTACTTTCATACATTCCCTTCTTTGCCTCCATAGATAACGTTTTTTGACTCCACATATACCTCAACGCACCACTCACCTTTTTTTCCCTCATCAATTCTATGATTAACCTCATCCTTCATAAATCCATCCGCCAACACTCAACTCCCAAGTATCTAAAAAACATTCACTTCTTCCATACTCCTCCTCCCCAATTTTGGGATATCCAATTTTTCTTTATCTAAATCATTTGATACCCTCATCACCTTACTCTTTTCTATGTTCACTTTCAACTTTCTACCTTTAAAAAACACATTCTCAAACTCATCCACAACCTTTGCAATTTTTCTTTAGAATCTCCCATAAGCACAGTTTCATCAGCAAAAAGTAACTTTGTCAATTTCCGATTTTTTGAATTTGATTCCCCATAATTTAATCCCACCCCTCTCCCAAACACCCTAGCATTTACTTCTTTTACAACCCCATCTATAAATATATTAAACAACCATGGTGACATTACACATCCCTGTCTAAGACCTACTTTTAACCGGAAGTATTCTCCCTCTCTTCTACACCCCTAACCAGAGCCTCACTATCCTCATAAAAGCTCTTTACGCATTTAGTAACTTACCTCCTATTCCATATACTTGCAACATCTGCCACATTGCTCCTCTATCCACTCTATCATATGCCTTTTCTAAATCCTAAATGCAATAAAAACTTCCCTACCTTTATCTAAAAAACTGTTCACATATATGCTTCAATGTAAACACTTGATCTACACATCCCCTACCCACTCTGAAGCCTCCCAGCTCATCTGCAATCCTACTTTCTGTCTTACCTCTAATTCTTTCAATTATAACCCTCCCGTATACTTTTCCTGTATACTCAGTAAACTTATTCCTCAATAATTTTTACAATCTCTTTTGTCCCCTTTCCCCTTTTAAATATAAAGGGACTATACATGCTCTCCACCAATCCCTAGGAAACCTTCCCCTCTTTCATACATTTATTAAACAAAAGTACCAACCACTCCAACACTATATCCCCCCTTGCTTTTAACATTTCTGTCATGATCCCCTCAGTTCCAGCTGGGTTTACCCCCTTTCATTCTACGTAATGCCCACGTACCTCCACCACACTTACATTCTGCTCTTACCTCCTAAAAATGGTATAAACCCCCCTGGCCAGTGCATGAATTTACCGCCTCCCTTTCTTCCTCAACATTTAAAAGTTCCTCAAAATATTCTCTCCATCTACCTAATATCTCCCTCTCCCCCATTCTACTAACTCCCCCACTCTGTTTTAACTGACAAATCCATACTTTCCCTAGGCTTTCTTACTTGTTTAACTCACTCCAAAATTTTTCTTATTTTCATTAAAATTTTCTTTACAGTGCCTCTCCCACTCTATCATCTGCTCTCCTTTGCACTCTCTCACCACTCTCTTCACCTTTCTTTTTTCTCTCCATATACTCTGCTCTTCTTATAACACTTCTGCTTTGTAAAAACCTCTCGAAGCTACCTTTTTCTCTTTTATCACACCCTTTACTTCATCATTCCACCAATCACTCCTCTTTCCTCCTGCCCCACCCTCCTATAACCACGCTGCCCCACATTCTAATACTGCATTTTTAAAACTATTCCAACCCTCTTCAACCCCCCCCCCTACTCATCTTTGCACAGCGCACCTTTTGCCAATAGTCGCTTATATCTCGCCCAAACTTCTTCCTCCCTTAGTTTATACACTTTCACTTCCCTCTTACTTGTTGTTGCCACCTTCCTCTTTTCCATCTACCTCTTACTCTAACTGTAGTTTTCAACTAAATAATGATCCGATATATCATTGCCCCTCTATAAAACGTGCATCCTGGAGCCTACCCATCAACCTTTTATCCACCAGTACATAATCTAACAAACTAATTTCATTACGTGTTTCTCATACCTTGTATATTTATTTATCTTCTTTTTCATAAAATATTATACTTATTACCAAATTTCTTTCTACACATACTCAATAAAGGCTCCCCATTTACATTTACCCCTGGCATCCCAAATTTACCTACTACTTTCCCCCTATAACATTTTTACCCACTTTAGCATTGAAATCCCCAACCACCATTACTCTCACACTTGATTCAAAACTCCCCACACATTCACTCAACCCTTTTCCCCGAATCTCTCTCTCTCCTCTACCCCTTCTCTCTTCCCCCAGGTGCATACACACTTACTATAACCCCACTTTTCACATCCAATCTTTATTTTAACTCCACATAATCCTTAATTTATACATTTGTAGTCCTCTTTTCCTGCCATAGCTTATCCTTCAACATTTTTGCTACTCCTTTAGCTCTAACTCTAATTTTAAACCCCTGACCCCAAAACCCATTTATTCCTCTCCATTGAAACTCTCCCACCCTCTTCAGCTTTGTTTCACTTAAAGCCAGGACATCCAGTTTCTTCTCATTTATAACATCCACAATCATCTCTTTCTTAACATTTGCACAACATCCACGCACTTTCAGGCTTCCCACTTTGACAATTTTCTTCTTCTTATTCTTTTTAGTAATCTTTACAGGAAAAGGGGTTACTAGCCCATTGTTCCTGGCATTTTAGTTGACTTTTACAACACGCATGGCTTACGGAGGAAAGATTCTTATTCCACTTCCCCATGGATATAAAAGGAAAAGTAATAAGACCAAGAACTATTAAGATAAAATCAAAGAAAACTCAGATAAGTGTGTAAATAAATGTGTACATGTATGTGTAGTGTGACCTAAGTGTAAGTAGAAGTAGCAAGACATGCCTGTAATCTTGCATATTTATGAGACAGACAAAAGACACCAGCAATCCTACCATCATGTAAAACAATTACAGGCTTTCATTTTACACTCACTTGGCAGGATGGTATTACCTCCCTGGGTGGTTGCTATAATTATCTACATTATCTAGCAAGTCAGATTATTATATTATCTACAATATCTGGCAAATCAGATTATTACATTTTCTACAGTATCTAGCAAGTCACTTATATATTGTATGTGAATAATTGCAATAATTATGTATATTTTCTGGCAAGTTGGAGTTTAAGCAGGGTAATATTTTGTGAAGGGATTCAGGAAAACCAGTAAGCTGGACTTGAATCCTGGAAATGGGAAGTATAATGCCTGCACTTTAAAGGAGGGGTTTGGGTTATTGGCAGTTTGGAGGAACGTTTAAGCTGCCATGCCTGAGCGCCTCTGCAAAGACAGTGATTATGTGTGAGTGATGGTGAAAATGTTGAATGATGATGAAAGTTTTTTCTTTCTTTTTGAGTTTTTTTCTTTTTGGGTCACCCTGCCTCGGTGGGAAACTACCGATGTGTTAAAAAAATGTGAATAACTGCAATAATAATACAGTATTGATATTTTCAGGTACCAAGTTATGTGTCGGTTAATGCCCGTAATCTGATATCAGAGTGCCTTCAGAAAAACCCAAAGGAAAGAATCAAGCTTGAAGCTATTCCTAATCATCCTTTCATGAATACAGGAAATAAAGTGGATGTATCAAGGATGTCTGACAGTGGGTTATATACCATGACTACTGTAACCACCACCCATCATACTAGAGCTCCACTAGCTTCCATATCAGAAAGTGATCTGTCTTGTTCTGAAGGCAGTGGCAGCAGCCATACAGGGCAGATAAAGCCATGTTCTGAGCCCCTTCTTCGCCATCCCTCTTCTCCACCAGTTAGGATGAAATCTAGGTGACATAAATTAGTTAAATATTGATCATTGCTATTCCTTTGTTGCTAACAATTATGTTATATTCATTAAATGAATATTAATAATTAAATATTATAACTTGCAATTTTTATTGAATAATTATGTCTGATTATTCTTACAGTCCAAGAGATCTTCTACCTCCGAATGCTGGAGTTATTGATAGTTTGAAAAAGAAATTTACACCCCTGCCGTCACTGAAGGGTGGAGGAAATTTTGCTTTTACTACACCACTGCTGCCACCTTCGATAAAGCGGGAACGAGATGTGTCTGAGGAGCGGAATAGGCAGCAGAATTCAAATGAGCTTAGATGCAGTTCCTCCAGTTCTTGTGATGACCAGTGTAACTCTGTACAGTATTCCTCTTCTCGCATTAAAGATGAGGTATCTCATCACATTCCGGGGGAAAGGAAAGGTAGGGCTAGAAGTAACTCGAGAAGTAGAAGCAATGATTGTGGCACAGTAGAACACAATTGCACTAGTGAAACTCATAATCCTTCAAGAAAAGATAAATCTGGTGATTACAATGATAATTCTGGAGAACGGTCAAGGATATCTTATGAATGCTCTTCTGAGAGTCACAAAAATGAATTATGTAATCAGTATTCAGGTCACCAAAATCAAGGCTCTGGTATGAGATCAAAAGAAATATACAGTGATTGCAGAAGTAGATCCCTTGAAAAAAAATGCACTTCAGGACAAGAAAGTCGTAGATTAATTGAAAACCAACTTAGGTCTGTGGAAAATTGTCAACAAGATGATCCAGGATATAGATTTTCAAGATCTAGAGAGAGGTGTGGTGTGCCAAGAAGCAGTGGTTTCCAAAAAAGTGGCCCCTTCCCAAAAACATATGACCGTCACGGGAGAAACCCGATATGATTTCAAAAAAAGTTTTTTAAAAAAAACCAGACAAAACCTAAATTTAAACGAGTTCCAAGCAAAAAATCTAAAGAACATTATAGTGAGAAAAACTTTTTTAGCTGTCAGAGTTTAAAACAAAAGGTCTTGGGGTGAAAAAAGAAAGAGGGCTTCAGAGGTGTAGATTAAGTTTTTCCCGTAGTGGTAAAAAACAGGGGAACTGAAAAAGAATTAATTTAAATCCTAAAAAATTTTTCTAGACATTGTATAATGCATGAAAACAGTTTTGTTTTAAAACAGAAGTTCAAAACATTTTTCAGGAGCATTGTGTTTTGGTTTCAAAAAAAAAAAAAGCAACAAAAAAAAATATTCTAAGGGGAAATTTCCCAAACCAGTTTTTAAAAAGATCAGTTGACAGTGAAAATTGTAAACCCAAAAAGGATGCAAAAGGGGGCCTGAAAAACCCGCAAAAAACGGGAAAACACCAAAAAAACGGGGTGCAGAAAAACAGTCAATTTTGAGTCAGCAAAATTCACCCCTTTTTTTATGCGGGTTTGAAAAAAAGTGAGTATAAAAGAAAAAAAGTACTTCCTAAACTTTCTTGAGTAAGGGGAGGTTTGTCTTAAAAATTCTGGCAGCAAAGAAGTCAAAAATTTGGTGGGAAAAATGTATGCAAAAATTTCCGTTGGGAATGGGGGTTTATGTTTTTTTTTTTTTTTTAAAAAAAGAAAATACTTTTCATCTTCATTCAACATTTTCCCTCACTCCACATAATAAATGTTTTAGCAGGGGCTCGAATAAAACAGTTTAAAAGGGCATTACATTTAAGATAACAAAATACCCCTCCAAATCCCAATACCCCAAAACCCCCAATTTTAATTATTTTAAGACTTAAACTGTCTTCATCATTTAATATTGAAGGGTTTTACCCTATTTTTTTTTGTATAGTCCCTTTTATGATTTATATTTTTTTTTTGTTTTTTAAACCCATACATTTTTTACCCAAATAGTGCGTATATAAAAATTTTTGTGCTTTTGAAAAGGGGAATTGTTTGCTGCAGAGATACAAGAGGGGGGTTTTTCCCTTTCCCGGGTGTTTTGTTTTCATTTTTAAATAAAGTTATTTGGGGATTTTATTTCAGATAGTTATCTATCAGCCAAAAAATTGGCTTGGGTTAGTGCCTGGAGTTTTCCCCAACCCCCAAATCCCAAGTTGAAGGAGCACTTTTTATTTTTTTCTTTTTGCCCCAATCTCCTGTAAATTTAATGGAAAAAAATACAAAGCTCCCTTAAAGGTAGGATCAAAAAAATGTCTAATGTTTAAAATCCCAAAATTTTAAAAGCAGTTGTGCATGAGTAAATATTATGTTGAAATTATATATTTAATGCATTGGAAAAAAAATTTAAATTTGGTTTTGGGAAAAAGGTGGGCAATAGAGCCTTGCAATGTAGTTTTTTGGGCCAAGGATTGTGTGCATTTTTTGAAAATTAAATGATTGGGATGGGATTAAACCATGCTGTATTCCCCGGGTTTGTATGGGTAGCCAGGTAAAAAAAGGGTTTTATGTTATCATGTGAATGGTTAATAAAATTTATTGTCTCAGAACCGTTTCAAAACCGGGGTTCCTAAATTGGAAAGGAAAAAATTTACGGAAATTAATCCCAAAATGGCATTAAGTTTTTTTTTTTTTTTTTTTCACAAAAAGTCGGCCCCTCCCCCCGAACCCGGGGGGGATCAAAGAAAAAGGGAAAAACCCCAAAAGAAAAAAATTTCATAATCATTAAAACACTTTCCCTCACTCACACAAAATAACTGTTTTTGCAGAGGTGCCGAAAAAAACAGTTTAGAAGTGTATTTTTGAAAAAAAAAATTTTTTAAAAATTATACCCCTCCAAACTCCCCAAATATCCCAAACCCCCCCTTTTAAATTTGCAGGCATTGAAATTCCCTTTTCCCGGAAATCAAAGTCCGGTTATATAAAAAAAACCGGTTTCCCTAAATTCCCTTAAAAAAGTATTCCCCCTGCTCACACCCCAAACAGTTGTCAGGTCCCAAATCCCATTTGTGCCCCATTCATTTCCTATCTAAAAATGCCAAACCATTGCGGGAAGCCCAAACCCCCGCCCACAACACCTTTACCCCCTCCAACCTTTTTGAGGGGGACCCCTCCCCACCCCCTTCCTTCCCAAAGATTTATACGCTCTCATGTCATTCTTCTTTCATCCATTCTCTTTTAAAGCCCCCAAAACCCACCTCAAAAAAACCCCTCTTCAGCCCTTGACTAAAAACTTTTATTAACCCCAAACCTTCCCCTAATTTCCCCACCCAAAATTTTCTGTATAATATTTACCACACTTTCCCCTTTAGAAGGACATCTCCTGCCTCCAACAGCCTCCTCGCTGCAGCATTTAAAAACCCCCAAGTTCCCCCCCAATATAAGAGTGTTGGTATTACTATACTTTCTTACATTCCCTTCTTTGCCTCCTTAAATTTTAAAATTTTTTAAATTTTCATATTGTGAACTTGAAGGGTTTTTTTTTAAAAATTATTTTTTTTCAAACCAAGCCTTATCCCACGAGGCAAGGTGACCAAAAGAAAAAAAACTTTTGTTTTTTTTTTAAAATTTTAGAAATTTAAAAGGGGAAAAGGGGTTACTAGCCCCTTACTCACGCTTTTTAAATTTCCCTTTTTCAACCACTTGGTTTAAGGGGAAAAATTTTTTTTCCACTTCTTATGGAGAAAAGGGAAATAAAGAAAAAGAAACGATTTGGAGAATAAGGGGAAAACCAGGTGGGGTAAATATAAAAATGGGTGGACGTGCATGTTTTAGTTTTTTGACCTAAGTGTAAGTAGAATTTGCAAGTTTATCCCCCTTTTTTTCCTTTTGGTTTTTAAAAAGAGATAAAAAAGGGAACAGTAGCAATCGGTTGGAATAAAAAATTTTTTTAAAGAACTTCGGGAATGGGGCCCTTTACCATTTATTTTTTTCCCCTGCAAAAAGGGATTTTTGGATCTGAGTTTTTTTAAAGGTATTTTAGGTTGGGGGGAAAAAATTCAACTGGGAAACTAAATTGAATAATTTTTAAATTTTTATTAAAGTTTTAAAAATTTACAATACTTTATCTTTTCTTTGTATTTAAATGTAACTTAATATTTTGGTAAAAAAAATTTACCAAAACATTTTTTTAAAAATAGGGAAAATGTCCTTTTAAAAGGAAGTTTAATTATTCTTCCTTTTAATTCGTCTTTCAATAACATTTCGTCTTTGTTTAAAAAAGGGACTGTAAACTAAAAAATTCAAAAGGTACAAGATTTAACAAGACCTTTGAATTTGGGCCCGTAATGTATCTTAGGGATTATAAAAAGAAAAGAATAAAATTATCAAAAGAGCTTTCAGAGCAATGAGGAACAGTGGTCGTCTTGAGTCCAATTCTCAAAACCAAATTTAAAATGTTTCCCGTTTAAAAAAGCCAATATACGATCAGTTGTCAGGGGTAGGCAGGGGGTCGACTGACTACTTGCCAGTCTGTTTAGCGTCAAAGGTTGGTTTTATGGGTCAACGTCAGTCAGCCGGGGAAAAAACAATTGAAAAATTCACCCGGTGGTTCCGGGGAAATTTTAAAAATCTACTCTATATACACAAGGGAAAAACCCACTAAAAAATAGTAATAAATTAAAAGTGTAATAACAAAATAGGATAATAGTGTTTAATTTAAAGATAATACCTTTGGGTTTTTCATTATTAACAAAATAATTTAAAATAAGCCCAAAGTCTCTATTTTAGCTATAAACGGGGGGCTTTTGGCCCCATAAAATTAAAACCCCTTTTATGTTTTGGCCCCCCTCTGAAACGGTTTATTTATGTCGCCAAATATTCGAAAAAAAAAAATTATTTTTTTTTTGAAAATTTTGGAAATTTTTACTGTGTTTTTTTGCCCAAAAAAAAAATTTTTTTTTTCGTACTTCCAGATATAGAGCCCCAAAATTTGCAGAAATTTTTATGTTTCGTACGGCAACAGCGGCGACTGCCGCCCCCCCGGGTTTTTTTTAAATTTTCTATAATTCAAAGGTTTTTTTGCATTTTTTAATATTTTTTTTTTCCAGGGAACTATGTGGCCTGTGAGCCAATGTAAAGGTTTTCATTTTTTTCAAATATTCAATCATTATTTACCACAAAACAGAACAAACTTTATCACTTTTGTTTGTGGATACACTTTGTTTACACAAAAAAAACAAAACAAAAAAATTTTTTATTTTAAAATTTTTTCCCTAAAATTTTAAAACATTATGTACCCGTCACTAACCAGTTCCTTTGAAAATGTGCAGCTTTGGAAATTTTGAAAAGTGGGTTATGCCGAGGGGCACTTCACCTTCAACAAAAAACGAGTGTGTTCCCTTTTGGGGTTTTTGGGCGTTTTGTGGTTTTTTACTTTCATTCACCTCTTTCCCCCGGATTTTTTTGGCAGTTTTAGGAGGCAGTTGTTTGGGTTGTGATAAAAAGGTCATTCGAGTGACTTTGTGGGCGTGGTTATTTAGGGGGTTGCCCTTGGTTTTTTGCAATTATTTGTTGATTATGACAGCTAAATTCACCCTATTTTTTGGGGTTTTGTGGTCTTCAACTTGGGATATGTTATAAGCATTAGCCTTTGAGATATCAAAAAAGGGTGGGAAAAAAAGTTTGATTTACCCCTTTATAACTCTTGGGTAAAACAGTTTTTCAAACCCCAAACTGCATGTAAAATTTGTCCCTAAGGCATATTGGGGGTTGTAGTCCATGACAGCTGCAGGCTTTAGAATGGGTTTTATTTGGGCTCTCTGTTGTCCCGCCCAATGGGTTCCCTTTCGTTTCTGTGAATGATGTCAAAAATTTTGGGCATACGTTTGTCATGCCAACCCAAATTTCCATGATGTCATTGGGAGGGAAAAGGGTTGCAAACCCCCACCCCCTGCGGAAATGCCAGCGTCTAACCCTTTGGTTTTGTTTGGATTACCAAATCACTGTGCCCCACAAATTGTCAAATTCAACGCAAGAAAAAAACCCCCTGGGGTAAGGGGCTTTTTGTACCAGTTATCAGTAAATAAAATTTGCCCTTACCAAGATAGGGTTTCCCTATTGTTCGAAAACCCATCCCAGAGATTTCCCCAAAAAATTCATGGTATCTCTCAAAGTATTACTGCCAGTGTTAAAAATAATATCTAAAAAAAGAAACCCCTTTGCAATCCCCAAGTAAAATGTTTAAAAACCAAAGCGTTTCCTCTTGCTTGGTTATATTGCTTAATGAGAGTCTTCCTTTGAAAAAAAAAAAGGACTCATCAATAACAAGCTTCCTGAAGGGGGAAAAAAAACACCAAAAAAATTTTTTTTCAACCCCCCCAAAAAAAAAAAAAAACCCCCCCCCCAACCCCCCAAACAAAAAAAAAAAACCCCCCCCCAAACCCCCCCCCCCCCCCCCCCCCCCCCAAACCGGATTAAAATTCAGGCATTTTTTTTGTTCCAATTTTTGTGGTTTTTCAGGGGTTTTTCTTTAAATTTAAAAAATTGGCATTTAAAAAATTAATTTTCCAAAAATAAACAGGGATCTTTGCCAGTTGTAATTCCTTTAAAACCTTGGGCTTAAAAATTATTTGGGGTTAAGAAATTGTATTTCCATTGTAACCGTGTTTTGGGGGGTTTTTTTCCCCTGGGAATGAGTATGGGGTTTTTCGAAGAAATTTAAAAAACAAAAACAGTCCAGTTTTTCTGGCATTGTTTTCCCCCTGGAAAAAGTGGGGTTTTTTTCCAATTTGGGGTTTCCCTCAAAGTCATGGGGGCTTTGGGAAAAATGTCACCGTCCTTTCCAAACCAGATGGGTCTGTGGGGGGGTTGGTTTTTGTACCTGGTTTTGGTTGTGAGGTTGTGGTGGTGCAGGTTTTGGGGTGCAGGTTGTGGGGAGTGTGGGGTAGGGTGAGGTGGTTGTTCTGCTGAGTCAGCGCGTGGGGGGTGCGTTGGCCCCGGGGATGGGGCCCAAAGGGCCGTGGGACCCTCAATATCACCACCATGCCCCCCCTCCCTGTCCCCCTTTTAACCCTCGTTCAATATCGTCTTTTCACTTTAAAGGGCTTTTTGGTTTTAGGGCCCCGGGATGTGCCCCCCAGAGTTTTTCCTTCCCCCTTGGGAAAAAAAGGAAAAAATACCAGACGCATACTTGTTGTAAATTTTTGGGCCCTTACTGGGGAAAAAACTCTCACTGTCAATAAAATGCTTTCAATGACCTTGAAATCCTATCCCTATACTATCCCCTGCTTAATCTGGGTGTTGTACACGACCAAAAAAGTTTCCTTTTTTCGTCCCGGTACGGGGGAAAAATTTAACGTGAACAAGCCCGGGCCGCACCCGAGGTCGAAGGTTGTGGGTATCTGGGTTTTGTCATATTTACGGTTTTCCTGGGGATTTTTTCAGTAAAAACTCACTTCAAACCCTGGAAATTTACTGTACTGACATTTTCATCGTGGGTTAGGGGCTATAATTGGGGAAAAAAAGGGCCTCCCAAACCGCGAGGAGGTGAGGGGGAAATTTTTTTTCAAGGAATGGTGAAAATGGAATGCAAAATGGCGTTTCCACAAAAGCACGTGGGTCCCGATTTTTTTCAAAAGGGTGGGGACACCCACCACGGAACCCCTTCTCTCCCGTGTAGGCCTACCAGGCCTTTGGCGCTTGATTTGAAAACCCCTAGAAATTTTTTTTGTTTTAAATACGTCAGAAACATTGGCCGTTAAAGAAGTAATTTTTAAGTCGGGGGGGAAAAAAAAGTAAAAGGGGTTTAAAAAAATTTAACATATTTCTTACAATAGTTAAAAAAAATAAAAAAAAAAAACCCCCCCAAAAAAATAAAAAAATAAAAAAAAAAAAAAAAAAAAAAAAAAAAAAAAAAAAAACCCCCAAAAAAAAAAAAAAATTAAAAAAAAAAAAAAAAAAAAAAAAAAAAAAAAAAAAAAAAAAAAAATAAAAAAAAAAAAAAAAAAAAAAAAAAAAAAAAAAAAAAAATAATAAAAAAAAAAAAAAAAAAAAAAAAAAAAAAAAAAAAAAAAAAAAAAAAAAACAAAAAAAAAAAAAAAAAAAAAAAAATTTTAAAAAAAAAAATAAAAAATAATTTAAAAAAATAAAAAAAAACTAAAAAAAAATTTTTTAAAAATGAAACATTGGCTCGTAAGACGTATTTATACGTCGGAAACAGTCAAAGGGTTAAGTGATGAACATATTCTCTTACAATAGTTAAATAACACAGGATGACCAATTTCGAAGATATAACACCCCCCCCATACGACAATAGGTCGCAGTAGGGAGTTTGCAAGCGTCCTTGGTAATATCTCCTTTAAAATTTAAGCGTTCCTTTGGTAAATAAGGCATGTAGTATGACGGAAGAATGGAGAAGAAATAACTCGATCAGCATGGTTATTTGCCAGAGATGAGCTTTTGGAACAATGGCCTGAAGAACTATCTGGAGTGGCTTCCATCATAATTCGAGAATAAGAGTCTCGGACATGACTGTCAGGGTCGTCCATGTGGACTTAATACTTCGTCCCATCAACGAAATGGCTTTCATAGTCATACTGTCAATATAAAAGAAAATCATTAACAAAAATATAATATATATATATAAATTAGGCTCTAAGAGTACTCATTTCTTAACTTTACATTTTAAGGTGTACATTTTTTTTTTTCAAGGGCGAGAAAGGGCATCAGCAATTATGTTAAGGGATCCACTTAAGTGTTGAATACTAATCAGATAAGGTTGGATCCTCAGAGCCCACCTGAGGATTCGGGTGTTCTTTGATTTCATAGAATTATATAAATTAAAGGGTTGTGATCAGAAATACCATAATTTTATGGGGGGAGGTTCCCAGATAAATGTCAAAATGTTCCAAAGATATTACTAGGGCAAGAGCTTCTTTCTCTACAGTGGCGTAATTCTTTTGGTGACGTTTTAACTTTGAAGAAAAATAAGATATAGGATGCAAAATATCAGTAGAGGGGGATTTCTGAAGTAACACCGCCCCCACAGCATAACCGCTGGCATTGATGTGTAAATAGAAGGGTTGATTAAAGTCAGGACTTTTCAATACGGGTGACGAAGAAAGTAACCGCTTCAACCGATTAAAAGCTATCTCACAATCTTTCGTCCAGCAAAACTTCATCTTACTACTGGTTAACTCAGTAAGAGGAGATGCAACCTGAGAAAAATTAGGACAGAAATGACGATAATAACCAGTCATTCCAAGGAATCTCTGTATAGACTTTCTATCTTGAGGGATAGGAAACTCTGCAATGGCCCTAACTTTTACATCAACAGGACGTACTTCACCCTGACCTATACAAAAACCGAGGTATTTAATCTTGGCTTGTCCAAACTGACACTTGGCTAAATTTATGGTGAAGTTGTACTTTTCCAACTTCTTAAATTAGGTTTCCAGGCGAATTAAATGTTGCTCCCACTCATTGCTATATATAACAAGATCATCTAGATATGCATCCACTCCTTCTAAATCATTGGTCAGCAGGTTCATCAGGCGCTGAAAAGTAGAGGCCGTGTTACACAACCCGAAGGGCATAACACGATAATTGAATAATCCTCCTTGTATAGTAAATGCGGATATTTCTTGGGCTCGCTGGGTAAGCGGCACTTGGTAATAGCCCCTTAATAAATCCAGGCGGGTGACATAGGCGGCTCCTGATACTCTGTCTATTAGATCATCAATATGGGGTAGTGGGAAACCATCTGGTACCGTGAGAGCATTAACCTTACGATAATCAGTGCACATTCTAGAATTTCCCATCAGGCTTGGGAACTAATATACAGGGCGAGGCCCACGGACTTTTACTCCGTTCTATGAGTCCATGGGACAACAAAAATTCTACTTCTTTGTTTAATGTTTCTTGTTTGAGTGGACTTGCCCTATAAGGTGACTGTTTGCAAGGTTTTGCTCCTTGTACATCTATGTCGTGAATTCCCAATGTACAACACCTAGGGACGTCATCGAATAAGACCTCATAACGTAATATTAAGTCTTTGATATCTTTGGCTTTCTTCAAATCAAGTTCCATAAGAAAGGTATCAAGAGATTGCAATGTCTCTGAATTTTTTAAACGTA